AAATTACTTTTCTAATTTAATTTATCTGTCTATCATTTCTCAAAACCAAATGCTGGTACGAAGCACTCCTCCTTTGTTTGGAGAAAAAGTAAAATGAAAAAAATTCTAAACCATAACACCAAAGTAACTGAAACATCAGTAAATAAGTCCTCACAAGCTGTTCCTTGTTCAAGCGGCCTTGCCGAGGACCACCATCTATTTCATATTTCTCTTCTTGTTCCCAAGCGCCTCTCTTCAAGCTGGCCTCTACCCCTGTAAGTAGGAAAACAAAGTTTAAGAAAAGAAAATGTGGTTGTTTCTTGCAAACCCAGAAGTGATTTGTGGGGGGAGGGGGAGGGAACTGAAGGACTAGAAGACCAGAAGATGGCCAGAAGATGACTGGCTGGAACACGTGCCAGTGTAACAGACAGGCTCAAGACCAGATGAGATTTAAATAATCAAAGTAGTCATCTGGGATACTTGTCATAAATCTAAAAAGAATATATTACAGAGAAGCACAGAATGCTGTTGGCAGAAGATGCTATACTGAAAGGAATGCTACATGTGAGATATGGCAAAAGCACCAGACCACATGAATCAATTTTTCTACTCTTGAAGTACATTTTTTGAATTAGGTTTCTGCAAACAACCCTTATCAAACATTTTCTGACATGCTCAATAAAAATAACAGCTTATGAGGTAATAAACACTTTTTAAGGTCTTAGATTCATAAAATCCTAGGGTTGGAAGAGGCCCTTAAGGGCCATTGGGTCTAATCCTGCTCAGTGCAGGATCCACTACACCTTTGACAGATGGTCTTCCAGGTTCTGTCTGAAGACCTCTAGCAAAAGAGAACCCACCACTTCATATAGCCACCTCTTCCACTGACTGATAGCTCATACAGTCAAGAGGTTCCTCCTGCTATCTAGTCTGAACTTCCTTTCTTGTAATTTTAGCCCAATGGTTCTGGTCTTACCCTCTGGGGCAATAGAGAGTAAGTATAGTCCCTCTTCGGGGTACAACCTCCAGATACTTAAAGTGATATTTAAATATCATAATTTAAATGATATTTCATCTCAGTTTTCTTTTCTGTAGGCTAAACATACCCAGTTTCTTTAACCATTCCTCATAAGGCTCGCTTTCCAGATTCTTCACCATCTTGGTAGCTGTTCTCTGAATTCACTCCATTTTGTCAACTGTCCTTTTTGAACCTGGTGCCTAGGACAGAGTACTCCAAATGGGGTCTGACCAGGACACAGTAGAGTGGGACAATTACTTTCCATGATCTGGACTCTATGCTCTTGTTAATGTACCTGAAGATAGTGTTTAACAGCTGCATCACATTGCTGGGTCATGTTTAATGTAGTTGACAAGGACACCAGCTGTCTTTCACATGTACTACTGCCAAGCCATGTCTCCCTCATCCTGTACTTGTATCTCTTATATTTTTCCTATACAGATACAAAACTTGAAATTTCTCAATTAAATTGCGGCTCACAACAATCAAAGAAATTACAATAAAATCAATAAAAGATAAACTCTCACTCTCCCTCACCAAAGGCCTGGATGAAGAGCCAGGTCTTTACAGCTCTTCTAAACAACAGAGTTGGGGAATCTAATCTTTATAACAATACTCTAAAATAGATTTGTGTTATCCTATTATGAATAGGAATTTTACCAGAGAAGTATGAGAATGTTTCCAAAATGACCTGGTGCATTAGGATATCATTGCTGGTTTCAAAAGATTAATTCTCTCTTTCCAAAGGCTAGTGTTTGTGATGGAAGACATGAGTCGGGAGGATTTTGAAATGGAGTTTCAAGGTTACAGGGACGGGGAACAGACATTCCAAGGAAAGTAACTCCTCAGCCCCCAGATGGACTGTGTGAAAGTCAAGAGGAGGAGACCGCCCCCCCCCCAAGGGCATGATGGTTATAGTTGCTATCGCTGCGGGATGAGAGTTAGTCTGGTGAGATTCTGTCTATTAGATGTAGGCTAATAAAGAAGCTAAGCTGAATTCTGGACTGTTTTGTGGTGATTCTTGGGCTGAACCTGACAGTATTTACTCTTTCAAATTGCACACCCATTTTATTTTCACAATACTGTTAACCTACCCTGGCAAAATCAAAGCAGGTTATGATCCTTGTTTATTGCTATCTTGTAAGCAGTTTTTGATAATCAATTACAATCAATGCATACATGTTTTGTACTGATCTTAAAACAAACATGTGAGTACACATTGTCTTGCCTTGAACTTGGAATAACTATTCTAAGCTTGGAATTGTTCAGGTTCAGAACATTTTGCACAACTTTAGAATTATTGCTTCTGAGAAGTGTGTGAAAAAACAGGATCTGTGCTACATTCCTGTTATCTTTGTGCCTTCATCTCAAACATACGTTTTCTTAAGTACCAAAATAATTTTAATTACTTACACATAAATGTCAAGATCCAACTTCCAGTTAAAACTGCCAGCATGCACTTCATAGTAGTTCGCACAGGATATACAGGAACAACAACGTGTGTCACTACAATGAAAGAGAGTTTGCTAAAATGTATAAACTGCAGGATGAATTCTTCCCTATGTAAAGGAACCACAACTGATCCTTCACACCCGAAGGATAATTCAATTTTACAGCCACTAGCCTACAACACAAGCAGAATAGGTCCCACGAAAGGGAGAGAAGTGAACAGATAAATATACAGACCCATTGCCATTATTTTCAAGTTTTCAACCTCTGAGAAATGGTTACCAGAACTTCTTCAGTTGCTGCTGTATATAAACCCTAATGATATGAGGAGGAAAGTAATGATGTGTATCTTTTTAGGTGTCCTTCTTGCTAGTATGTTACAATTATCATTATATTCCTAATCTACTCAATAATCCAATAGCTAAAATGTTACTTTAAAAAGTTCTAAAATATTAGAAACTAGTGTGCTTAAATTACAGAGAAGTAGAATTAAATTGGACATAAGGAAAAACTTCTTAATAGTAAGAGCTATTCAATATAACAAGAACTGCCTCAGGAGATGATGGACTCTCATTTGCTGGAGTTGTTTACACAGAGGCTGAATGGTCTTCTATCAGGGAAATCCACTATTATAGCAATTCTATACTCAAAAGGGTAAGACTAGATAGATTCCATTTGATAGGCCACCCAGATAAGAGAGAATACATTCATGAGATTCTCTGGCTTCAAGGAATTCAAGGCTCTAAAAATCAGCACAAAAACCTTGAACTGAACTGAAAATGAGAATGGAAGCCAGTAGAAATACAAATCATTGTCCTAATATCACATTACGCACTCCAGTTAGAAAATGTTTAGTTGTTTTGGACTGATTGAAACTTCCAAACTAACTTAGCCCCACATACAAAGCTGTGACAGTGACAGATTCAAGAGTACACCAAACTCCTTTTTCAAAAGGAATTATATTCTTTGTGAAAGAAGGCCCCAGCCGGCATGCAATAGAAGGCCTTGGACGGTACATGAAAGGAGGCCCTGGACAGTACATGAAAGGAGGCCAACATGAAAGAAGGCCCCGGCTGTGCTGGTGCAAAGTAAGGTAGTGTGAAAGAAGGCCCCAGCTGGTAGTGGCATGTGGTGCAGCAGGCGTGCTGGCGGGCAGGGGCAGGTGGCCAAATGGGCAAAGTTGGGGGGGAGATAGGTGGGGGGTGAATTGAAGTGAAGGCAGTCCCTTACCTTCTTCCAAGAATGACTTGAATCTGGGTGGGTCCTCACCTAACAACCACGTGGGATTTGCTCAATGATAGCAACTAGGACTGCTGGAACTGCTGTCGCTAAGCAGGACAGTCACTTGATTTTTGCTTAATGACCGTGTCACTTAGTGATAGATTTGCCGGTCCCAATTACGGTCATTAAGTGAGGAGTACCTGTAAATCTCAATTAAAGATCTCTTTGAACAACTCACAAACTATATTAGAAGTTGTGGTCTCCCTGTTTCTTGTTCAACTGTCTTTGGAAAACAAGTCAAAATGATTGCTACACAAAGAATTTTGTATATAGAAGCTCAGAGAGCTATAGCTACCCTCAGTAAGGCCAGCACACTGAAATGGATGAGCTGCTATAAACACACCTTCCAAACTGCAAAATTTTTAAATAAAGAAATGCCCAAGCATCTTAGGGGGGTATTTATTCAAGCAAGATTTGAGCAGCTGGACACAATGGTTAAATATGGAAGGTTTAACCAAGTTCCTTATGACAAATGTACATGTATTTGTGGAACTCCAGAGATAGAGGACATAGCTCATACATTATTTGAATGCCAACTGTATAAGAGAGAGAGAGAGATCAATATCTTGGATTACACATTAGATGAACAGCCTATTGGGATCCATACATTAAAACAACATTTCATGTGAGTCCAGAATCCAAATATTACATATAACGTGGCCCTTTATCTAAATTGAACAGTACAGTACAGCACCCCCTAAACTGTAGGGGTGATACAGAAATATGGTATGTATTTCCTTCTAGTTTTGCTTTTTACTGTATCTTGTTACACATGGTCTTATTATTATTGTTCTGTATCTTGTATTCTGCTATGGCCTTATGGCTAAACAATAAAATATTATTATATTAAATAAAGATGATAACTTACCGGAGCTGTTAAATTCTGTACATACTCTAGCCTTCAAAAATGTAGCCAATTTGCTTAACAGTAGTTGTTGACCTGGATCCAGACCACTCCCAAGGAGAACAATAGGCCCTTTTTTACAGTAATTTAGGTTTATGGACTAAAGACAAAAGAGAAGCATTACATTTCAAACAGTCTATATTTCTTTCTCCTTTATTAAAAAATAACCAAACTTTACTCAACATTTCTATTACATAAGAAAGAACTATTTCAAAATGAGCATAATTTGTGGTATAATTTCAGGACATAGATAAAAATAGGTGAAATGTATTTAATAAAATAGCATTAATAGGGCCAAAAGGACTTTATGATTATCAAAGATAGATAGATAGATAGATAGATAGATAGATAGATAGATAGATAGATAGATAGATAGATA